CGCCGCTCCCGCCGCCCGCTCCCCGGGCTCGGCGGTGTCTGCTGGGGCCTGGTGCCGCTGAGGTGCCCCAAAGCCTCGCACGGCCCGCGGCGGAGCGGGCTGTTCCTCGCCGGGCAGCGGTTCTGCATGGGAGCGCTGAGGGGAATCGCCACAAGCCGAGAACTTCTTATCGGAGTCGCAGTTAAAGTCACCTTCGTGGCGTCGGTATTGACTCAGGTCCTGCGACACACGTCCTAGGTAACGGTGGGAAGGATGTAAATTAAATCCTGCAGGATGTCAGGTCTGCGCCACGTCTAAGTGACACTGCCGATGTACGCTGTTGCAGTCAGTAAATAATCTTGCTTAAACTCCGCTCGCTTGGTTAAAACCTCCGTGGTCATGTCTGAAGAGTGAAAATAGTTCAGGTTTTTAGGCCCAAAGAGTGCACGAATAGCCTGGGAAAGGGCCCTGCCATGCAGTTCGACTAAATGCTGTCCGTGACCTCTGACTTTTCCCATCCGCGTCTCCGGAGTGAAGACAGTTAATGTGACGGTAGTGTCATCTTTGGGTTTAGAGAGGGAAATAAGTTTGGGAGAGACTTGGAACAGAACAAACAGCAGACTTCAGAGAAATAAATAATTGGACCATCAGATTCCTGTAGCACCAATGTTCATTCTGTCACTGCTGCTGTCACCTCAGTGCGTTGTGTCTTGGGCGAGAGATGTGCAGGTCACCCCATTAAAGGCGGCAATGTTCCTGATATCAAAGTAGGTCTGTTTCCTTTTTTTTTAGTAAAAATCCACACATATCTTCCTAAGCGTCTTCTAACTGAACTTTCTGAAATTAACAGCATATTGTGCAGAAACTGTTCACTCTGAGTGATAAGACCTGATAAGTTGTAATTTATGCCGAGGAATGGAATGCAGAGAGGCTTGGCTGCAAAGTAAAATTACAAAACAGAAAATGGGTTCCGTTTTACCTCAAACCAGGAGTAAGAAGATACTGATAGCACTGGTAATAAGTGTGAAATGGCGGAGACTGTATGAACGCAGTGCCTATAGCTACATCTCTCTCCCGCAGGTTGTGGCAGTGTATGGGACTTTATCAGATTTGCTGTCTGTGGCCAGTAATAAGCTTGGAATAAAAGCGACCAGTGTTTACAATGGAAAAGGTGGACTCATTGATGATATCGCTTTGATTAGGTAAGGCTTATCCAATAAAAGACAAATCACAGATGCGGATTAAGAGACTTACTAGCCTATTAATCCTCTGACCTTAATCAATAACCAGTGCTTTCCTTAGAAACAGATCTTATCATTGCCAGCCAGCATGCCCAAAGGTGCTTTCCATGCCCCAAGGAAAAATAATGCTGTCTTTTGAACTTCAAAGCATTTCTATCCTGAAGAATCGGAACTTGATACAAACTGCATTTTGTGCCTTTTAACATCCTCCTGTGTTGACTCACAGTGCACTGTATGTACCAGGAAAACCCCACTATTCCAGTCAGCACTCGGATGAGGTTTTTTTGAAAGGGAGATAAACTCTAGCACTGCTTTGGCTTCACAGAATACTCCAAGGGTGGGGAGAGAAGCAACGATTTTGTAAAACTAAACTCGTTGAGCAGCAGGTGATCCCTTCCTGGTTGATACAGATAACATCTCTAGAGAAGTCAATTGTATCACAATCCACTGGAACCTGCAAAATTAAGATAAAAATCAGATAGTGAAGTTCTAACTAATGGCAACTGATTATCATTTACTTGAAACTAATCAGGAGTGGTTCCTACTGTCACTTAGATGAACAAAAAATTATGATTAATCTTTTTTTTTTCTCCTCCCTCCTTCCCCCTCCCCTTTCAGGGATGATGATGTTTTGTTTGTCTGTGAAGGGGAACCATTCATTGGTAAGTCTCTAATTCATATGTTTAACCTTCTGTTTAATGGAAAGAGGTTTTGCTTTGCTTTAATGTAAATCTAAAATTTTATTTTCTGGTGTTTTCAGACGATACCTCTTACCCTACGGAGGATTCAGAAATACAATTTTTCTAATAATTACTGTGTCTTTCTCATCTGTGTAGATCCTCAGACTGATGGGAGACCTCATGAAGAACTAACAGGGTCACACACAGACTGGTTAACGCTCAATGTTGGAGGCCGATACTTCACCACTACAAGGTAAAAAATGCAACTAGTTGGTTTTGTTCTTAAAGGACTTGATTTCAGTAAGGTAGTTACAGCAGCTGGTAGTGCACGTTCAGTTGGTGAGGCTTCAGATGCCCTTGCAAAGGAGCTAGAAAAATACCTTACTGTGGAGCAGGAGTCTTTGACTTCTGCAACTTTCTCTGTATTTCATATTTGTTACTACAGTTTTGCAACAAATTAATTCTTAAAAAGTTTACCTATGGAGTAAAGCTGGCAAAAAGCCTGAACAGGCCTGGATTTATCCTTGGAATATTTCATTGAACTAAGTGCTTTGTATTTAAAATACCTTTACGATATCTCAGGTCAGAAATGTATTTTGCTATTACGCTGTATGAAATTAAATCAATACAGTGTTGTAGCTGTTGGAGTGCATATCACACATCACGGGCAGAAAATACACTCCAACCAGCAACTTTGCCTCTTGAAGAAAACATTCCACGTAAAAATAAAGTTGCACTGCCTTTGTTTTCTAGGAGCACTTTGGTTAATAAAGAACCTGACAGTATGTTGGCCCACATGTTTAAAGATAAAGGTTAGTATATCAAAATAAACTTTATTTTTTAAGCTAACAAATCTGAAATGTAGGCAAAAGGCAGTATCAAGTTGAGACTTTTGTTCATATGTTAAAATACCAAAAGTATCGTAAAGTAACATAGTAGAATGTATAATTGGGTTTTTTTTCTCCGTTGCCCATGTAATGCTTATCATCTTACAAACTGAAAATGTAACTTTCATCCATAGTTAATATTTTGGGGTCTTTTTTGCTTGTTTGATTTTAGATTTTCATCTTATTGTTGCATCTTGCTCAGTTTTGTCAACAGCATCAATGGGCAAACACTGCATGAGACAGCCTTTAGGGAACAGGGGCAGACTAAAATCTTACTACTGCTTTTATTCTAGCAATAATTCTGATGTATGGGATAAAATGTTTTAGTTATTTATAGCAGGAGTGAGTTTGTTTTAAGGTGACCCTTTTTTTTCCCCTCACTTTTATTTTCCTTTCTTTTCTCTAAGAACCACCCTTTCAAGTGGAAAGTTTCATAATCCAGTACCCTTTGGTAGTAAAAATCTGAAAATTAAGCAAATGCTCTTCTATTAATATATCAAATTTAATTATATATATGTTGTGGAAACAGATGCTTGGGGAAATAAGCAAGATCATAGAGGAGCATTCCTAATTGACCGCAGTCCAGAGTATTTTGAGCCAATTTTGAACTATTTGCGTCACGGACAGCTCATTGTAAATGATGGCATTAATTTGCTAGGTAGGTATTACCTGTATGACATCTCCTAAATTATTACTCTTTAGAAGTTAAACTTTTCCCTCAGGTAAACATGATAAAGTCAGTGGGACTCCTGTGTGCTCATCTAAATGTTTGGGATTTTTCTTTGGTGAATTTATTCTCAAGCATTGCAATTCCACATGCTTGGTTTAATGAAGATACGCTGTTTAAACTTATTAATCTTGAGAGCATTAAAAATGCTCTGTACTGGATTAGTATCTGGCTGTAATTCTGGATTTGATATCTGTAACCTAATACTGGTACTGCATTTCTTCGAGACTCCTTAAACTTCAACAAGTGATCTATTCATCTTTGTTAGTGTAGCTTAAATGTATAAAAGGTATAACAGGTAGGGAAAGTCGATTGAATCGATGCTCCTCCAATAGTAAGGATGGATTAACCCAAACTTCTTGGCACGTTCTTGGTGTGGCTATACACTGCCTTCTCCAGTAAGGGAAGAAGAGTGCTCTCTTGTTTAACGACTCCCTGTAAATAACAAATACTGCTTTGTTTTGTTAGGTGTTTTGGAAGAAGCCAGGTTTTTTGGTATCGATTCACTAATTGAACATCTAGAAATAGCTATTAAGGTAACTTGTTTTCTTTAATACGTGAATGCACATGTTCCGTTCTTTCAGGCAATATGTAATTTAGTCCTGTTCGTATTAGCTTTTGAACAACTCTCTCAACAGAATTCACAGCCAGCTGAGGATCATTCTCCCATATCTCGAAAGGAGTTTGTCCGATTCCTACTGGCAACCCCAACCAAGTCTGAGCTGCGGTGTCAGGTGCGGAAATGCAGCCTTGATCTGTAGTGTTGGTGTCTGGTGGTGAAATATCCTGCAGCATCATGTGACAACATGAACTTCCAACAATGTGTGCTTCCCCCTCCTGCTTTTTAATTGAGTTTTGATTCCAAGTTGTGGCAGAGCGACCTTAACATGAAATTCAAGTACGCTGCTTGGGCTGCTTTCCTTCTTTAGGCAGGTTTGCTAGAGGAGCAATTTGTTAAGCCATTTTATTTAAATGCAAAATGCAGTAGCATAACCAAGGACAATGCTTGATAGCTTTGCCTTTACATTTCATTAGTCTTATGTAGTAGAATAGATGGTCTTGTGTGTCTATGTATCTATATCTCTGCATATATTTATATATACATATACATGATTGTCTTAGCTGTTTTGTGTTCAGAGCTACACATCATCTTCTGTAATTTTGGGGGGTTTATTGTTTTGTTTTTAGGGTCTCAACTTCAGTGGAGCAGATCTTTCACGTCTAGATCTTCGATACATAAACTTCAAGATGGCTAACCTGAGCCGCTGCAACCTCGCACATGCCAACCTGTGCTGTGCAAATCTTGAAAGAGCTGACCTCTCTGGATCAGTGCTCGATGTAAGAATTGTTGCATCTTGGAAGGTCTGGGCTGTCCTTTAGTTATTTTAAGGGAAGAGGAATCGGAACAAGCAGATAAGCGTAAAGCATGTAGTTCTCCAGTATTTTCTGCAATTTTTCTAGTTACATCACTTCAAAAGCTTTTTGAAGCTATCTTAAGTTAAAAAAAAAAGGCAGTGGGTGAAAATTATCTGCATTCCTGATGATAGAGAAGTAATAGTATAGCAGGTTCTTACACTTCCTCACAGTAACAAGGCTGTTGTGCTTTAATAGGATTCATTTCTGAAACAGAGACGAAAACTATACTCTGATCATTTTCAGTATTGTTCATCTTCACATTTTTATGAATCTCACTGATGTGTTTGTCTCTATCAGTGTGCAAACCTTCAAGGCGTAAAGATGCTGTGTTCCAACGCAGAAGGAGCGTCACTAAAAGGGTGCAATTTTGAAGATCCATCAGGCCTTAAAGCTAATTTGGAAGGTAAGAAATTTTTGCCTGTTGGGTACTCTGTAGAAACTGAACCACATGTTTGTAAATCTGTATGGCACGTGAGAGGTTTAGCTGTGTTTGTACAATCCGTGTTTTCATGAGAAGAGGCCACAAATACCAGACTGAGGGCATGACCATGTAGTCACAAGTTCTACCTTGACCTCTATCAATTTACACATATCTGAAGAAGCATCATTCTGGAGCTACCACGTTTCTGATGTTTTTTCCTCATAAAACTACTCTTTGTGTGTTTTAGGTGCTAACCTGAAAGGTGTTGACATGGAAGGCAGTCAAATGACAGGAATTAATCTAAGAGTTGCAACGCTGAAAAATGCAAAACTAAAAAACTGTAATCTTAGAGGAGCAACTTTGGCAGGAACCGATTTGGAAGTGAGTTATGATTCATTCTGAATACTAACTAGTCAACTGATAAAATTTTGGGGATTGGCTTTCTTTGTTTAGTCTTAGTGAGCCATGGATGATATAATGAATCACATCTCGTTCTCGCCTCAGTCTGGAAGGCGAGTCTAAAGTCTTGGATTTGCCAGCAGCTCAAAGCCACAGGAGTGGCTTGTATCATCTCAAAAGCAATGCATGGAAATACTGCTAAACTTAACTCAGTGTGAGATCGTGCCATCACTGAAGAGAAATACAGTTGCCTGGGTTTGTGGGTTGGTTTTTTTTGATCCTGGGACATCATATGTAGAATAATGATGGAATCTTACCTGACTGGTGGCATGTGATACGCTGCTGTCTCTATGAGAAAGACAAACTAGCTCATGTTGCAAGCTGTGTACGTGGCTGTTCCACCTCAAGTACTAGTATCTGAAGGAATGTCTGGTGAGGTTGCGAGAGGCGGCTTCTTTCTAGCTTTGTTCAGCAAGCATTAGTAACTCCTGGAAGATAATTTGATATAAAGAGTGTAAGTCTAAACTTTAAAATAAATTCACTGTTACTGTGAAAAGGAACTACTCTCTCAAAACAAGTAACTAAAACTCTAAACTACAGTGACAGACTAGAAGTTTACACTGAAATTTATGGAAGAATATGTGGTTTGTACAAATGTAGTTAAGGTAAAATTTTTGAACTGAGTTCTGGGCATTTTCAATTAATATTTATTTTTCTTTTACCCTTTAGAATTGTGACCTATCAGGTTGTGATCTACAAGAAGCTAATTTGAGGGGATCTAATGTAAAAGGAGCTATCTTTGAAGAGATGCTGACACCTTTGCACATGTCTCAGAGCGTCAGATAGGGAAGAGAATATGCCGAAGAGGAAGGAATCAAAACATTTATTGTGACTTTCTTCACCTCCTCCCCTTGTTGAGTTAGAAGTAATGGTTATAAGACAACTTACATTTGCAGCAGTGCCTAAGTAAACTCTTCTTTGATCACTTTTTGGGGAGGGAGCTTTTGTTTAAGAGGTAGAAACAGACACTCTTTCTACCTTTGTGAACAGAGCGAGGAAGTGGGCTGATTCTTGAACCAGAATGCGTGGCTGGTTTTGGGGGGGAGGGTTAAATAGATTCATTGTTTAGCATTGCCTCACTTTGGAATGCATTTTAATTTATAAAGCACAATATATGCAATTCTATTTATTAAATCTGTAGCTGCAATATGAATAGAAAATGTTATTCATGTCTAGTAGCAACAAAGTTCAGGTTTACAGTTAGACTAGTGTATTTACAGTTAGTTTCTTCATTCATGCACAGTGTATTGACAGATGTGGTTTAGACAATGTCCACAGGATGTTTTCAGGTACTCTCTTCTTCTGGGGTGAAACCAGTAGTTAACTGTCATCATAGGTAATCTATTGCCTTGTAGTAGTTTAAATGCAGGTATAGAACAGCTTTATCATCTTCTAAAATGTGCAGTGGAAGCTGCTGCTTCCACTGAAGGGATCTGCGTACACAGCAGATTTAGTTATAACTAAAACAGCCCTGTTCAGAAATTGGATGTCTTATTCAGTCCTTTCCAAATTAGTGTGAAATTGTACTATCAATCACAGCTGGTAAGAAAAATTTTCTTGCTTTCACATGTCCTAACCACTCCGAACTGGAGTACCTGTAGATTTTTCATTTGTTGTGGGGAATTAAATGTACATAGGAAAATACAATACTGTCACCAAAGTAGAGCTAGGCACTGGGGCCACAGCACGTACTCCGTCCTCCTGTCATTACTCCACTATATGAATAAATGGCACCCGTTTCCCCTCCATGTACTATGCAAATACTCTTGTACGCTGAAAGCTTGAAAGCATGGGCATAATCCTTCTCCCAGCCAGATCTTAGTATTCCACTTTGGGCCTGCTTAAAGTGACTGTCAAAGCGTCTCACATAGGGCAAAGTGCCCTTTCCACAACTGCTTTACCTGTGAGCAAATAGGGAACTAGGTGATTTCTGCAGTGCAGAAAGCCTCACGGCATCTCTCTAAGTGGCAGTGCACTTCGTTTAATAAGCTGTTCCCACTGTAGTATCGATCTAGTTCTCATCTAATAAAACATTTAGTTTATACACAATCAAAAAGCACATGAAGAAACTATACCAAAAAAAAAAAAAGGTGCATCAAGAACTCTTACCTCAGATGCTTACTTAAAATACCCCAAAGTTAAAACTAACCTTGAATCTAAGGAAATACAGCTTTTACTGGAAGTTAAGAACCAAGGTATCCTAAAACTTGCAGCATGTGACAGTGTTAGCAGTGGTTTGAGTTCCACAGTTACTTCAGTGGGTTTTCTGCAAGCGCAGATTTCCAGTCTTGTCTCAGTAGTTGTTACAAAAGTGCTGCTTTGCCATCAGTCCGGAAAGATTAGTACAGGACCAGTATATGATTTGTTTGGGTGAGAATCGCAGGATTCTCCCTTATTTTCAAGTTGGGTTGACTCAGGCACATGACATGAACTTCCAGGACTCAAAATCTCATAGCCATGTGGCTCAGAATTGGGATTTTATCTCTTTGAGATTCCCAGGCCTCTTGATCTGGCTCTAGGACAACCCTGTAGCCTTGGTAAAATACACCTACAGATTCAAGGGAAATATTTCAGCCTGATTTTGGAGTCCTTTCTCCCATCTCATCGCTTTCATTGAGAGTGATGTATATGTTGCAGTAGAAGAAGATTCCTAGGGCTAGAGAAATAAATGAATTATTTTTCTTTACCATATTTTGTAGCTGGCAGAAGTAAAATATTGTATGGAAAAAATCTATTTTCATAATCACTGTGTATAAAATATATTTGACCTTTCACTGAAGCACTATGTTTTGAATAATCACAGCGTGTGGCATCATTCATTCACAGATGAATTTAAGGTACCTCTTTGCTATCACAAAGCTGTATGAATAGCCCAAAGTGGCCTATTCAGAAATTGCAGGATCCAGCCTAATTTAAATTGCATTAATAAAAGTGTGAAATATAAGAGTGTCTTGGTTGTCTTAATTTAAAAAACCAATCTCAATCTTATCTGACTTCTACAGGAAGGACAGCAAGTTAGAAGAGAATGCAACTTTTAACTTTGATAGCTCCTTGCATACAAACTTAAAATTATTACAGCTAAAGTTGGTTTTGCCCTTCCCAAGATCTTGACTGTCACCTTAGCCTGGATTTGTATGTAACCAGTGCTTTCTCAAACGGACTACTTACTGCAAACTAGGAATTACCCGTGCCTGAGTACGTATTTTATGAGAAGACTGAGTTTTAGATGTCTTTACTTCTGCACTGGCACTTTGCACTATGGCAGAAAGCAAAAGAATTTTTGCTTTCAAGTGGCACTTTGCACTATGGCAGAAAGCAATATGCTTTTTCTTTCAAACATAGAGCTCACCTGCTAGAAAAACGAGTGTACCTTGTGTTGGGATTGCTGCAACGATTCTTGTACATTCAGCTGGAGAACTTTCATGTTTTTTTTCTGACTTGTCATTCATCTGCACCACTTTCCAGCTTTTCTTTGCCCCCACCCTTCATATTTGCTTAATAACGTAGTTGGAGTCAGAAGTCATTAACCACAATTTACATAGGTATGTGCACTATTTAAAGCCCTCTTTCCACAATAGAGATTATCATCGCACAGCACAAGCAGCTAAACTTCCTTAAAAAGGAAGTGTTAAAACACAGAAAAAAACCTGTCCTTGACTTTGGTCTATAAAGTGCTCATGATTTCAGTGTAATAAACTCTGGCACAACAGCAGTAACACAAATACAGCACATCTCTAAGTGCTGTAGAGCACCTTGAGAACAGAACTGGAAAAAATCTAGTTCTTTCTTCGGTTTCTCAACTCCAGTACACTTGTTTGGGTTGGGAACAGTGCCTAAAAAGCCTACGAGACTCAATAGGTTAGGATACCCTTTCCCAGCCCTTCTGATAAAAGAGAGGTCTCGGTTCTTGGAACGGGAATCCACAAAGCCAGGTTCTGACAAGACCTAGACTTCCATGTATGTCCTTAACAGCACTGGCACACATTAAGATTTCTCTCCCCAAAACAGAAAAACTAGTGCCCTTGAAGGTCTGGGAGCTCTTCTGAAAAGTCTACATCAACGGTATTCCAGTGTCTGAAAACTAAAGAGGTCATGCAATAAAACCCAGCTGCACTGTGATTCTGAGTGCCCAACGCTGGCACCTGCCCTACAAGCCCAGGCTGAAGCACCCCCAGACCCCAAATCAGACCGCAGATCAGACTAACAACGCCGGCGTGTGCCCTGCCCGACACGCTGCGCGAGGTCTGCTCCAGAGCTGGGACCGAAACCCCGGCACAAACCTAGCCGTTGGGAGGCGTTAAGGGCAGGCTGGCATTAGGCTTAGCTTAAAATGGTGGCTTAATAAAAGGTGCAATTATTCCTCTCTTTAAACGTCATCCCTCAGGATGAACAAAATCTTCTATTTATCTTTAAGTAACCTTAATTTTTTGCTCAGCTCATCAGGGCAGGAAGGAGCCTTAAAACACCGATACAGGAAAATCTCACTTCTGAAGCGATGTGCCCACGCAACATTTCTCCCACTGAAACAAACTATTTTCACAGCTTGATCAGTTTATCAGCTGAAGTTAAACGTTGGCTACTCTCGCCGTGAGTAGGAGGAGTATTAGAGCAGGAAGAATTACTCCTTGCTAGAGTCACTAAATCCTCCTTAAATTATTTACTTATTAAATGACTTTTAATCCATTAATTTCCAAGCGGTCATGGGAGCAGGAAGAGAGGATGTTTGAAGAGCACTAAACATGATACATTCAATTGCACATAAAACAGTGCAGAGCAAGTGAAAATAGCTGCCAGGTGGGTACAAAAAAAAATAGATTTCTGTAGTCAGAATTACTGAATTTAACTCCTGCATGCAAATAGCTATCAGCTCCTTTATAAAACGGCAGTGCATAAACTCTCAAGAATGAAGATCATGCATACATAGACACACACGTGTAAAAATCCCAAATAGCAGCAGTGCCTGGGAGTCCTATTTATGAAAGAGACTCCATCGTGACAGCAAAGCAAGTTTACAAGCTAATATATTTGTGCATTTGATCAGTTTAATACTACTTTGGCTTTTATAGAGCAAAGACTATGAAGGCACTTTAATTTAAACGTTACGGAGGAGGACTTTGAAAGGAGCACACAAAACGCTCCCTGCACTTGCGCAGTCGTAGGCTCTTGTTCATGCACCGAAGGGCTGTTTCCTTCATGCCTGACAGACAGAGGCAGAGGCTAAGCCGAATTCCTCACCCGTTTCAACTCCTGTAAGCCCCTCTCAGCAAATTCAAACTCGCCCAAGAAGTTTTACTTAAAAATCAGAAGTCACTGAAAGAAAAGATTGTGTGTTTTCTACAGGGCGAGAGCAGCCAGCTGGGTCTGAATGTCAGATTTACAGCCTCTTAAAGAAAGGCTGTTACTTTTATGGGTTTTAGAGAAAACAGCTGAATTTAATAGCTACACCAGGGGTGTTCCAATTATGCGCTTTACTTCTGCTGCATTACAGCAATTTTAAGAACAAAATTGCAGCCTGTGAGACAGAATCAGATAAAGTTACCTGCTGCGAAAGGTTTGGCGTTGGGGTGGTTGTCTATAAAAAGCGAGCTGAGGAGCATACTTGCAGGACATTTTCAGAGAAGAGCTGGAGTTACTCCGCAACCTCTCTCAGCAAGCAGGTATGCTCTTGAACAACAGACCATATTCCCTATTTACTTATTCGGTGCTCACAGATGCTCTTATTAGAAGGAATGTGCATTAGAAGAGACTGCACAGAGCCCTTTTTGAGGAGCAGGGACATTAGGACAGAAACCGGCTAAACTGAACACATCTGTCAAATATCAACAGGGACTTTCACGGAACCTTTGAGGTTCAGACATTCCTCAAACCTTGAAAGGGTGTTCAAAAGTCCTAATTCAGATCTTCATCCAAATTTTTCAAACGTTAAATCTCTTTATGATGAGCTAATCCACACTTTGAAAGGCTCAAATCCAGCTGTGGCTCACATCCAGCTGTGGCTCACATATAGGCACAATGTCACCGGGGTGCAGATGATCACAACTGGAGATGCAGAAATGTACCATTTTCAGAATTCTGCGATGTAAAAATGGAGCTGTAATGTCATTATCATCAGAAAGATGTTTTATTCTCTCACAGGATGGAGAAGTCCGGGAAGATCTTTGCCAGTGTCCTCCTGGTTGTGCTCTCTGTGGAAATCTGCTTGGCTCAACATTGGTCTTACGGTCTGCAACCAGGCGGGAAAAGGAACGCTGAAAACCTGGTAGAATCGTTTCAAGAGGTAGATTCTAGACTCCAATCCACCCCTGTTGCTTTAGTTGGGATCCCTTATCTGTAAAAGAAGCAAGCGAAAAAGAGGTGACACGGGCTTTGCTGGGTATGTGTATCGCTGTCTCTTCCCCCCCAGACAGGTATACGTATGTATAACACACTTTTTTTTTTAAAGTAGTAATTGGAAAGTAACTGGCATTAGGGTAAGGTGACATTTGACAGCCTTGCATAAAGAAGAGATGGAGCGCTCGGGCAGCCTGCTCTGAAGCGGGGTGGAAGTTCGAGTTCCAGGTTGAACCCGATTTCACCCTCTCCCTAAACTTCAGGCGACGCTCTGATGGGCCGTTCCATCACAACATTCACCCACACCCCTGAGAGTGTGGCGAGGGGCAGCTGTCATGTGGTGACTAATTAGATGGTAAGCAATTAAATGACGAAGCAGGTGTGGAAGGTTCTGTCCAGCAGTGGTTTGCCCATCCTTTCTAATGCTCCTGTGTAGTCCCTCACAGGAGCAGTTCTACCATCCCCATTTTAGGTTTGCCGTAGCACAAGCACAGCACCTGGGAAAGTGGTGAATTTAAATCGTGCGGTGGAACAGTTTCACCTTCATCTGGAATGCGGGGAGAGTTGCTTTAGCAGAAAAATCTCCTTTCCTGAAGGCTGTATCACTTCCCAATCCAGATCCCAAATGACATGGAAAAATTAGGGGAAGTGGAGAAGACGGAATGCGCAGGCTCCTACCGGCCGCCCAGGCTCAGCGATCTGGAGGAAGCCATGGTAAGCAGCGCGCTGCTTCTTTTATCACTATGGGAAAATGAGGGGACCGGTCCAGGCTGGGAATGTACATGGAGGGAAGAGAAAAAAGGTGGGGGGGAGGAGGAGGAGGAGGAGGAAGAGGCACGTAAGTTTAGTTCCCATGTGGCAATACTGCCTCTGCCCTTATTACCCGCATCATTCTCAAGTACCCCAGTTACAGTCCTAGGACAGGGCTACACTCTTCTTATGTTGCCGTTATAGCAATGTCATTACTCGCTAAATTAAAACCAAAATAAAGTCAAACACATTCTACCTTAATACAAATCTATGCAGCATTCACAGATGCTTAACTTCAAAGGCGCGCTTTGCCAGCTGAAGGATCAAGCCATATGGAAGCTGCTGCTCCCAAGGTCCCTAGACTGGGAAATGGATTTTCCATTAGATGCTCTAACGCGATGACAGCGGAGACCTCACATACAAACTAGCTGCCATAGAAAGAATACTCTCAAGCAAAAATGTGCTCTTGAATTAATATAGCAACACCTTGATCAGGCCAGATGGTCACCACTTTCTGGGAAGTGTCTCTGAGCTGTCCTAAAAGTTGGAACGCTCAATCTCTACTTCATTTTTTAAGCCAAGACCAAAAGTTTCAAGTATGTACTCCAGCCTTTCACTGAGGAACCCGGCCCGAAAAAAGGCTCCAAAACTCAGGAACAGTAGTGCAGACAGGTCAGAGTCTGACTCCCATTGGAGTTTCATGCAGAAACTGCCTAAAAAATTTTTTTTTTTTTTCTTGGTCATCTTTAATCCTATTTGTACTGAATGTAAAATGGAATCTTTGCCCATGACTTTGGCTCCCAATAGCACTACTTGCAGAACAAAGAGCCAGCAACAGTAACTTCATAGGTTTAGATTATGGGTTGTTTTATTTACTGCAAGAGACTACATTAGGCAGGAAAAGATACCAGAATAATTGTCAGGATATTTGAAATGTGTCCTTAATGCGTCTTACTGAGGGCAACTTGGCCTTTCTTTGCAGAGCTGAAGGCACCCCTTTGCCCCCCACCTTAAATGAAATTCTTCGGTTTGCTCAGAAACTGCTGCTGATCTTGCACATAAGCGTAAAGACTCCTCAGGCTCTGCATCAAACACTTAGTTCGCATGATTTACTCCTGTAGCACAGTCTGAAGTATGCGGCCTTCTTACTTCTAGCTGCTTAATGACATTGAAAACAAATTAAACCTTTCCAGACGCAGCTTTTCCAATGTAACACATTCCTGGAGTTGCTACAGAAACATTATGCAATGAAAGGGGCGGTGGCTGGAAACGGGGCACTCCATGGAAAAACTTTTCAAATTACCGTCATCATTTCCTGGAGAAGCTGGTAGTGAGCACAAACAAAAATACACCTAGCTAAGACACAAAAAAGGAAAAAAACAACATATTCAGACAGTGCATCTATCCCAAACACCTCAGGCTTTCAACTCTGAGGCAAGAACATAAATAAATATTCAAGTAGGAGACCAGATCCAGCAGGATGTGACACAGGAACATGGTTTCCATTCGAACTGTACTAAGATACATAGAGAATGGTAACAGGGCAACTGTGCCACTCCATAATACCCCTGACGCAGTTTTGCAAGCACAGCTTTCTTGTCTCTGGTCATTCGGCCAACTGCTTAAGCTCACGGAGACATTCTACATACTGACCCTTTGTGCAAGTTCGTGCTTCTTGCCCTAAACTGCTGTCAAACGTAGTGTTCGACAGCTGTTGGGTTGCGCTCCAAGAACTGCTGCAGTGGTGGACCCATTAACAGATGTAAAGTTGGTCACGCACTTTGGGATGAAAAGGGCCATTATAAGTGTCGGTTACGTTATCCTGTACGACCAGAGCCATGGGCAGGTGGCAGAGAGATCGTGTTGGGTCAGATTTATGCCATTCTAATCCTCCTTCCAGTGGAGACCACTTTAGCATCTGACCAGGCTTTAAAATTCCATCATCAAAGTTATTTCTTCTCTTTAAAAAGAAGTATATGATGTGTGTTTACAGGAAAGTCTGATGGGAGGAGAAGCTAGAGGAAAGAAGATTTAAACCCACAAAGCCAAACGGAACAATGGACCCAGAATAAAATTTCAAAGCTATGTTAAAATCAATTCCTCTTCAAATGGCCTTTGCTTAGATTGCATTATGTGAATAAATACTCTGAAGTTGCATTTAATAGTAGGAGATAACTGATGTGTAGATCACTGGCTTATGTGTAATGGAGAACACATTCTAGTCCCGAGGCGGGGACGCAGCAGCACGGGGTCCGCTTTGTGCCCTGCAATGAAAACTTGGACGTGACAGCATTTGTTTCACATGTACAGACAACGCCGGGACAAAGGCACTGTCTGATCTCACTCTGGATAAAACAGTAATACAACATTCTTAAAAATCAAGAATAAACTTATTGTTGGAAGGTAGTGCCACTCGTGCTTCAGCAGCTCATGTATGAAAGACTTTTACATGCTCTTTTTTTACTGGTTCACTCATAAAAACTACATTTATTTTAAAAAGATATTTACAAACTTTACAACAGTTAATACATTTTAAAAAACACAAAAATTTATACACCTTGCTTTACAGACTTAGTGAATCATATGTCATTTACCCAGAGAGATGGAGGCTCCCTTGCCAAAGCGTAGCTCCTACTCTTTTTTCAGAGCCAGTTTAAAAGCTGTATTTTTTGCTGATTCAATTGCAGAGGACTAAAAGAAAGAGGGGGGGGGAAAGAAAAAAGAGAAGGTATTTTCAGTCTGCAGAGGTGGGTTTTCTAACTAAACCATCACATCCAGGATCTCAAAACACTCACAAAAACATGTTACACAACATCCATATTCTCCTGAATTCAAGGCAAACATGTCCCAAGGTTTATCATGTCATTAAACCTTCATAATACCAACAATTAAAAACTACATCAATTAATACCATGCGTATTGGGGCTGAATTTCAGAGCTGCCGAATGACTTACACCTCCGTTTAAAAAAAACCAAAACAAACCACAAAACCTGCAGACCGTGCATGTGAAAAACAGGTTCAATATACGCAGTCACACACGTCCGGGAATTTCAAGGACAGCCTGAAAGCGGAGCAGCCAGCCCAGTGCAGCACACACCTTTTTTTGTTAAGCTCCTCTATTTCCAAACAGTCGTGACTCTTGTGTACTCGGGGTGCCCACCAAACTGCCCTAAAGGTGCTTTGATGTTAACAGGAGCAGAATTAGGTGAACCTCTTGTGCTTTTGGAAAGCCCCCTCCTGCCATGCAATCAAGGAAATCAAATGATTTGTTTACTTTTTCTTTCTGATGTAGTCCTAGGAAAAGCTCACCCTGGTCCACTAGATAATTTGGTCTGCAGCAGTAAATATAAGATAGAGAAGGTTTTAATTAAAAGAAAAAAATTGAAAGAAGGTAGCAGTAATGGGTCAGGAATGTTTTCACTATGAAAAAGATTACAGTTAAATTACAGACATCTTAAACTTATTATTTCCATTTACAATTCTAAAAATAAATAAGGAGAGAAAATCTGCGAATCTGAGCCATTATCACTACAAGTCTAACTCACTGTTAATCCGTGGAACGTACACTGGGCTGCACAGCGTGAAGGTTATTAGACGCAGGTTCTCAACAACCACCGCATATACATTACGGTATTTTCTGCCACTGCAGATCACAGAGCTGTTCTCACTGGAATCGGTGTCCTTTCCTAATCCAATAATCCACTGAAATGGAAAGCTGTCTGTTTCTCTCTTCCCCTGATGTGGATTAGAGTCTGTAACATTTTTAAAGCAATTTATCACAGCATGACAAATTTTAATTAAAAGCTCCAGAAAACAAGTGTTCAGCGTATTTCTCCAAAGAAAAAAAATCCTCTAAAGTCTCGAAATTCAACACCAGCTTTGAACAGCACGGCTATGAAATGAGATTAGATTTTGTCTTCTCTGCAGACTGGATATTTGACTTTGGGATTTGTTTTATCCAAAACCATGAATTGGGTAGAAACGCTGCTCTTTGCTTTCATTTCTGGTATGCAGAGATGACATCATTATGGACTGTTCTCCTGCTCCCATTTTTAGCCCTCCAGTTTAAAAGACATTAGATGACATTTCCAAAAGCATCTAATTAACATGGAAAGATGATTCTCATTTTGAAAACTAAGTAGTGAGACCTTAAATTGTCTCTCAAAATGAAACCCCAGAACTTAAGTCAGGTAGGTACTGTAGCAAAGAGCAAAACATACACACACACAAAAAATAATCAGGGGTCTGGTGGGATTTCTTGTAAGAGTGAGGGCACTTAATTCCACTTAATTAAAATCAGTCAGGCCTCATGCTTATTCACACACTTAAATGCCCAATTGCCTTTAAAAATGTGAGACTGAGAAGACAACACTTTTTTTCTAAGACTGGCACGTAGCCCTAAGTCATTTCGGCACAGTACAGAACCTCCACCTTGCACCTCCAGGCAAACCACGCTGACTTCTAGCAGCTAAGAACAGAACTCTTCACGTACCCCCGCCAGTAATATATTTCAGAAAACGGAACGCCTCTTTGCGAG